TTGGACCAAAGTCCGAGTTTGCATAGGAACTTTGCATTTAATGTAATGTTTTACATTTGGTTAAAATAGAAAGAGGATTACCATTAAAAGGGGAAGGAATTAGAACAGGAATCACAATAGATGCCGTCAGTTTGCATCAGTGAACCACAATTTACATTAAAGCCAAACAGTGTGCTTGTTTTACCACATTACGGTCTGGATGGAAATAGGTCCCCACTTAATGGATCAACATGGTTCATTTTAAGGGTCCATTAACTGTATCATCTAATAAAGATTAGTATGAGGAACTTTATAAAACTTGTTTAAAAAACTCCTCATAAACCTAACCAAATTGAACCAACAGTATAACAATAGAAAAGTTTTCAATCACATGCAGTGCAATTCCTTTCCAAGATCATGTTTTTGCTGCTTTATGGACCTGTAACAAAACCCGGCTAGTGACTCAGAGGGCGTGAGCCTAAGGCCAGCTGGTAGACTGCACACAAATGCTAGCTAGTCGAGGCCTTCTCTATACAAATGATACAGGTAGGTATGGCTTCAAAGTGAGGGGAGCAGAAAAATGCTTAAATTCTCACAGTATTAAGACTGAATGAATTAAAAAAAAAAAAAACATTAAACACAAACCCACATACAAACTTAGCCAGAGTCAACTGGAACATAAAACGACATAATAAACACTGCAAATGCCATTAATAATGTACATAAAGACATAAACCAAAGACACACACACACACACACACACACACACACACACACACACACAAACTTTGCATATGAAAATCTTTTCCAGCACTCCCCATGTCTCAGAGGAGATACAAATGACATTTTCCTTCCTAGCTATACAGGATCGGATGATGCTTTACATGATGCTGTAAAAGATAACCTGGAACTTGTTTTAGATAAATAAAGCAATTGTAACTGATAATGTTTTATGTCAAATGATAATCTTTTGTTTGTTTTCTTTCAGCTAAAACAAACATAGTGCTGTCATTTTTGTCAAACATCTGAGCTAAAGTATCAGCCCTGAGATTCGCTAATGGTAAAATAAAGGTTAATGCAGATGCAAATAATTCAGATTTGTGTCCCTTCAGATGTGAACAACAAAAACTTTTGAATAAGGAATTGACGCAGGGTGTTCAAAGACACAAACTGATTTGAGATTTATTCAACTGAAAGTCCATCCTCCCTTGGCTGCCACCTTATCGTGGTGGAGGGGTTTCGGTGTCACAATGATTCTAGGAAGCTCCTGGTGACAAAATAAATACAAGTCATATTTTCTGTATAATTGGTGACAGACACACCAAAAATGAATTAAATAGGTAGTAAACAAACCCAAAAGACCTTCAGCAAAGTCAAACTTTGCATATGAAAATCTTTTCCAGCACTCCCCATTTCTCAGAGGAGCTACAAATGACATGTTCCTTCCCAGGTATCCCAGATCGGATCGTCCTCCAGCAGCTGTTCACACACCTGTGAGTATGTTTTCATGTCTCCATCATTTTAAGGAGTTAGGTTGAGCATCACTGCAGCGTTTGAAGTTAAACTGAAGAAAGGCACAAAAAGGAAACCCTCTGTAGATCAGACTGTGCTGAACTCTACAGGAAATAATGACTTTAATTAATTAATCTGACTTTTTGTTTCAGCTCTGATTGAAGGGAAACATATTTTTCCTCCTCTCCTCGCTTTTGGTCCTCAGCTGTCAGCTCTCAGTAATCGTTGTCCTCTGAATCTTCTCCTCTGGTTTCTATCAGCCTTTTGCTTCAAACGCAGCGTCAGAGAACAGAAACATGTTGGTGGAGAAATCAGAGCAGAATTTCACAGTGGGACCCAAAACAGAGCCAAATGAGAAAGAAATCTGATTTATTTGTCATTTTGAAGGTGAAAAAACACTGTGTGGAAGAAGTCTTTAACTCCTTTATTTGTTATAAGTGAATAAATGTTTGAAGATATAAAGCTGCTGGAATTTCCTTGAGAAAGCAATGATGGACAATTTATTATTTGGATTTCTTTACACCCCGGATAGTCTGGAAATTCTGAAATAAATGTTGATTTTCTCATCGATAAAGTGCTTTAATATTGCTTTCTTTTGCAGTTCAAACAAAGATGGATCTTTTCTTGTCCCTGATAATTGTATTCTCCTCTGGTAAGAGAACTTTCCTCTGTATACATTCAAGGTATTATCTTGTTTTCAGTATGTAACCTTTATATCTTCTGTATCTGTCACTTTTCCTCCATCAATACACAGGACTTCCTCTCAGCTCCTGCACACAGCCCCCCCTTCGTCAGTACCACTATGTTGACACACCAAAGAGCTGGACCGAAGCCCGACAGTTCTGCAGAGAGAAATACACCGACCTGGCCACCTTTGACAGCATGGATGACATCAGCAGGCTGAAAGCTGATTTCTCTTATTCCTGGGCCTGGTTCGGACTCTGGGATGACCCTGAAAACTGGAGAAC